CAGACAGTCGGTGTGGACCTGTGGGCCCAAATGGCCTGTTTCCACACTGTAGGGATTCTATGAGTTATTCTCAATGAGTCAACATCCCAGGAAACATAGCAGGTAAAAGGAATTTCATACAAAAGGACTTTTCTTCCACAACACCATCCAAACCTGCAATTTCTACCACCTAGAGGACAGGGACAGCACATGCATGGAAACACCACTGATGTGCTTTGAGATTTTCACTATGTTAGCCCATGTAACCTATACCAGAAACAGCTAGGTTTGTTTTGAGTCAGATATATGGCCAAAGTACTGGTGGCTAGTTTTGGAATGTGCTCTATTCTTGAGCAATTCCATCAGGTCAGTTAGCTCAGTTGGTGTGATTTTCGGTGCAAAGGGAGACCAACAGTGTAGACTCAATACTCATGCTGGCTGAGGCTACTCAGAAGAGATGTAACCTCCATTTCAACCTCTCCCTTTGCCTGAGGCGCAGTGACCTTTGCATTAAGACACCCCCAGTCATCTCTTTCTCTAATAAGGGAGTAATCCTATGGTCCAATAGACAATGTTGACTTCACCTTTAACAACTTTTTATGTACATGAATGTGACATCTCAGACTGACATATGCATTCTGAGTTACATACTCACTCAGATTAATAGTTTCTTATATAAACATTGTTGAGTGGCTAACTGACTAGAAAACTCATTCCTAGTTCAGAAGAAGGATCACTGAACTCAAAAAGTTAACTGTTTTCTCTCCACAAGTACTGCCAGACCTGCTGTGTTTCTCAGGCAAACTTTCTTTAAGTGACTAGAAAACTGAATGTTGCCAAACTGCTGGGTGACTGACTGTACAGAGATGAAGATGGAGACCTCTTATATGAGAGTGTTACATGTCACCACGTTATCTAGAGATCTGTCCAATAAACAACAACCACCATTGGCAAGTTCCCCTCCAAGACACTCACCATCCTGTCTTGGAAATATATCTCTGTTTCTTCACGTTTCCAGGACAAATCCTGTAACTCCCTTCCTGACAGCATTACCCACATCCCAAGGTCTAATTGGTTCAAGAAGGCAGCTCACCACCAACTTCTCCAGAGCAATTAAGGATAGGTATTAAATACTGAACTCACCAACAATTTCCCATTTACAGTGAATGAATGAAAAAAAAGTTTCATATTTATAGACAATATGATTTTAAGGCACTTGTGTTTTGAGGTCAGAAGATATTACTAATTAAGAGTCATACAGGGAAAAGAGTAGGAGAGTGGTCCAACTCCCCAGGACCATCCTGAAATATGATGGAATTAAAGATTAACATCCCAGACACTCTGTACCAAACTCAGAAAGAAAATCGTGAAGATGCTAAAAAAGGTCTTTTTTACATTTTCTCTGGCAATTGGAGTTGGGACATCATGTGACAGAGCCACCAGGAATACATCTGACCAGAGTTGGCAGCCTTCAGAATCGAATTTTACATGTTAAATTCTTTTCAAAATGTGGAAAGAGAAAAAGATGATGTAGTTGGTGTTTGGGTTTGTAATGTCTTAAAAGCTACTCATTAAAACTCATTCTTAGCCAATAAACATGTTCTCATACTCAGCAAATCCCTGGGAGCCAGGAGAGGGTGTGGAATGTCATTTTTGGAGGCTGTTGTTCAGGCAAATAAGGGCAAAAGTGAAGTTGTAAATCAAAAATAAAATAGAAGGAGAAAAGGGGGAGGGGGGAGGCAGAACTTATAGAATTGTTTTTGTACAGCATCATGTTATTTCCCTAGACTGTCAGAGGTTAAGGGGTGAACTTATAGAAGTTTATAAAATCATGAGGGGCATAGATAGGGTGAATAGTCAAGGTCTTTTTCCAGAGTAACGGAGTCCAGAACTAGAGGGCACAGGTTTAAGGGGAGAGGGGAAAGATTTAAAAGGGACCTAAGGGGCAACTTTTTCATGCAAAGGGTGGTGCGTGTATGGAATGAGCTGCCGGAGGAAGTGGTAGAGGCTGATACAATTACAACATTTAAAAGGCATCTGGATGGGTACGTGAATAGGAAGGGTTTAAGAGGTATATGGGCCAAATGCTGGCAAAGGGGGCTGGATTAATTTAGGATATATGGTCGGCTCAAACGAGTTGGACCAAATGGTCTGTTTCCATGTTGTATGGCTCTGTGACTCTATGACTCTACTCCAAAAGATCTCAGTATGTTTCACATGAAGTGAATTTTGTGACTTGTTTTGATAAATTGGACAATCTGTATGGAAAATTAGATTTGCAAATTAATGTTCACAATATTTTAAAATTAGCTATGACAGCTAACTCACTCCAAATGTAATCTATTACATGAAGTGTTTTGCAATGTTTCAATATTATAAACTACTGTACAAATGCTAGTGCTCCTTTCATATGTTATGTTTGTGTCATGATAATATTGCAACAACATTGTGACAACTGCGTTAACATAAAATTAATGTAAGATGTAACCAAGTGGTGTTTATCGTAAGTAAGGCTGTGAAAATATATCCCGATGTAACTCTGTGAGAGTGTATCTCGGGAAAATCTTTGTGAAATAAGTCTGGAAGAGTCTGTGGGATCATAACCCAGGATGTGAGGCCATGATATGAAATACTTTGTGAAGTTCTGAGGATGTGAAAGGCACTATATAAATGCGAGTCTTTCTTTAGATGTGATTACATTATTCAGATTGAAAGCAAGATTTAAAATATTGTGCATTTTGATTCACAATTAATTGATAAATCCCAGATTAATGAATGAGCAGATTAATCACATCAACCCTGTTTCCCCATTTCCTTTGACCTCACCTCTGACCCTAACATCTGTCGAAAATATTCATAAAGGAGATCCCTTATCCCAACCTTCCCACCTATCACCCACATTTTATAATTAATAAACACATGTTCAGATCAAATGAAGGGATAAAAGGCATGTTTTTCTTAAGCACACCAATAATTTTCCTCCAAAGTTGGTCAGAATTCAAGTCAATCCAAAGGCAATCCTGCTGAAGGGTTGGTAACCTCCATTTCTTATGGTTGGTCTGCTCTGTTTGGGATGTGCATTGAGAAACTTTCACACTGTAACATATTTCACATCATATTCCCTAATGGCCTTGTTCCCTTTCTGTTGCTGAGCAGGCCTCTCTCATTAAATTGAGTGGTTTAGACTTGGGGGCTATTACAAAGGAAGCACAGAACCATCACAGAGCAAACTGCAGCTCTAATGAGAGATGGTTAGATTGTTTATGCAGCATACTTTGTTCCACATCAATGCTTCAAAACGGGGCATCACTGAGCATTTGACAGACAGCTGGAGATAGACGGGAGAGCTCTAAGCAATTTGCAATGACTTAGGCTGCACCAGGATCAATTCATCATATCTTATAGCTTTTGTCATCAAACCTGGTCCCACATTATTTGTTACCAGCTGTCTGATAAAAGGGAAGGCTAATGGAAAAACTATTTAAGGGATTTACAGGCAGTTTGTGCGAATCCTTCTCTCTGGGGAGAGATGTGAATGTCACTGATGTGCTTACATTTCATTTTAATGCATGCATCATCAGACCAGATTGTGAGCTGACTTTAGTTTTATAAATTTATTTTGAATTTTTAAGGTCAGGGGACATCACTGCTGGAGATGGACTGTTGCAGGTACACAGTGTCAGCGTCAGATCAGATATGACTGGTTAGACACAGAGTAAACCCCTCTACCTTGTTTGAACAACCTGTCCCTACCTCAAACTCTGAAGACCATCATTATGACATTTTGTTACTTGACACCTCTTTTTGTGATTTGCTGAATGCAATGAACAAATTAGAGATCTTTCCATCCTAGGAACTGGATTGCTGAACCAGGGACTAACAATGAGAGATAGTGCACTGACTGGATATGAATCTACATGTCAATGGTAAAAGTAACTTTACTACATTGAAACAGCCAGATCACACAACAACAGGCAATTTTCTTATTGAGTGAAGGTTGTAAATGAAAGTGGGAAGTAGAAAAGATTTTTAAAAATTGCTGTCAATTATACTGCTGCGCCCTACAGCGGTTAATGAACATTTCTTTTAAAATGAAACTTGCAATTATATAGCACCTTTCTGAATTCAGGATCTCCCAAAAAACTTTGCAGCTAATTAAATACAATGCTGTGTAATCCCTATTGAAATGCAAGTGATAATGAAATGTTTTAAAGCACAGACCCTGGGACCTTAAGTGATTGGTGGGCCAATCGTCTCTCTTTCACCAATGAGATTTAAGGACAGAGAAATAGGATTTCATTGGGACTCACAATGGAGAACAAGGTACTCAATCCAATAAGTCCATGCCAGAGTTTATGCTCCACTCAGTGAAAACAGGTTAAAAATTTGACTCAATATTTAAAGAGACAGAATTGAAAATAAAGATTAGATTAAAAGAGATAAAAGAGAAAGGAAGAGTCGACTTTTCTATAATAAACATAACCGTAAGAATTCTTGAAATGTCTAGGAACAAGTTACTAGTTGCAGGAATCAAATTCCATAGTGCCAATTATTTCCTTTTGGGGTTGGAGAGTTTGAGTTACAGGGCCATGAATTTTGTCAGCAAAATAAAAGGCCCTTATATTGTCCAGTGCCAGCCCTAACCTCATGGTGATTCACTTTAACTGCATTCAGGTAGAAATCCTTTTCAAAATGTTGGCAAGGTTGAAAACGCTTTGCTATTTTTGTAATACTAACAGTGCTACAGCATATATTATTGAAACAATTCACAATTCATGCTATAACTCTTCCTTTCCATAAATTACTGGACAATTTACAGTCTACTATTATCAAGCTATCCACTATGTTCCCAGCAAATTCTTAGTCATTAGACACAGGATAAATCAATTGATATTTTCCAGATCCTTTTATAATGGGGCTATTGGGCAGTACTTTGAACTAAAATGTTTCTCTTGAAATAGTATACCTAGAATTTGCCAAAAACACTCATAAACACAACACAATAAAACTGTAAATGCTACCAATGGCCATCATGTAGTCCCACCGATCGAGCTGGCACATGTTAAATAGCTGTCCATCTGGAGTTTGTGACTGAATGACCAGTGGGATCTTCCTGTCCATGTTCTCCCAGGCAGCCAGTGTCCAGGCAATGAGAAACCAACAGACTGTTAGTACAATGACACCCAACATCTTCAGTACCCTGCAGCATGTCATGTAAGGTACCCGCTGGGCAGTTCGGGATAGGAACACCTTCAACACTCTGCAGGTACATAAAAAAGGAGGGGAAAGAGTGTAAGAGAGAGAGATAAATAAAAGAATCAAAAATGGAGTGATGGAAAGGGAGGAGGTAAAGATAAAACTAGAGGGGACAGAAAAATAATCATTTTTGTAGCACCAATAACATAGTAAGCCACCTCAAATTGTTTTTCAGAACAGAATTCTGGAAGTTAATTTATTCATAAGTTCAGTACAAAGAAAGACAGTACTGAGTGAACTGGAGAAATGCCATTTAGCTCATGAACATCAATAGACCAAGTGTGAGTAGCTCTGTCAATGTTCTCAACTTATTCTCATTCCCCATGGGAGATGGTTTATTTTTGTTAAATCGGAAATCCAAAATATTTTCTAGGTAACATTCCACATGCTGAATAATGTGCCAGCTATTGCTGCTACAGCAAATTATGTTGTCATTTCTGACTCATTTTATTTATTTAAGTTTCAATTGCATTCTGGATCTGATGGAGAATTCATTAATTCTCAGAATGTTGCATTGGCATTCGACACTCCATTCAAATTGCAGCGTACACACTTACACACACACAGACTCATCCAGACAATCACATATTTGGACTTCAAGTGAATCTTGTTCCAAATGTAGAATGATAGTTTAACACTAACCGTTAGAATTACAGATTATATTGCACAGAAACAGGCCATTTGGCTCGAATGGTTCACGCTGGTGTTTATGCTCCACACACATCTCTTCCCACCCCTCTTCATTGAATCATATCAATGTATCTTTCTAATCTTTTTTCCTCTCCTATCTAGCTTCCCATATGAATACCACGCCATTCACCTCATCTGCCCCCTGTGATGGTGAATTACACAGCCTCACTGTTTTCTGGTTCAAAATATTTCTCCTGAGTTCCTTACTGGATGTATCATTGATATTTGTGCCCCTTAGTTTTGGACTTAAGTGAAATACCTCCATGACTACTTTATCAAACCCTTTTCAAAATCTAAAAGGCATCTATCAGGCTCCACCTTATCCACCTCTTTGTGGAGAATGTTGACCTGATCCCAGACATTTGGAATGGTCCTCAGGAGATGGACAGATATACAACAGGTAGATTCGCAGGTAATGTATAATAACATAAACTGCTTGCACTTTGCCCAAATTAACGTAGGTCTTATGTGAGCTTTGTTGACAGGCTATTCGATTATAGAAGCAATTGCTGCATATTCATTCACTCACACTTGAGCTGCTTAGAAACAACCTGGATGGTGGACATTAGGGGACCCTGTTGAAAATATATATCACACTGGGATTTCTGGAAGGCATGAAAAAAGGTGCCACATAAAATGTTATTGTGCAAAGTAGGAGCTCATAGTATAAAGGCAACATGCTAGCATGGATAGAAAATTGGTTGACTGGCAGTAAACAGAATGTTTGCCTAAAAGAATTTTTTTTCTGATTGACAATTATAACAAGTGGGGTCCCGCTGGGGTCTGTGCTGGAATCTCAACTTTTTGCAATTTACACCAATGCCTTCCAATGAGGGATGCAAGTACATGGTAGCTAAATTTTTAGATGACAAAAAGATAGATAGGAAAGTATGTTGTGAAGAGGCCAGAAGGAGTTTGCAGACCGATATAGATAGGTAGAGTGAATGGGCAAAAATCTGGCAGATAGAATAAAATGTGATGAAATGTGTAGTAGTTCCCTTTGGCAGGAAGAATTATTTAAATGGAGAATGACTGCAAAATTCTGAGGTGTTCTGGTGCCTGAGCCACGAAAAGTTTGTATGCAGGTACAGCACATACTCAGGATAATGGGATGCGATCCTTTATTAATTGAGGAACTGAATATCAAAGTAAGGATGCGTCAGTTATACAGAGCACTGGTGAGGCCACATCTCAACAACTGTGTTCAGCTTTGTCTTCTTACTGAAAGGAAAAATGTGAATGTTTTGGAGGTGGTTCAGAGGAGGTTTACTCGGTTGATTCATGGATTGAGCAGGTTATGTTAGGATAGGTTGGACAGACTGGGCTTTAGGAAAGTAGGGGGTAACTCGACTGAAATTTATAAAGTTCCAAATGATCTTATCAGGGTGCTTGTGGAAAGAATGTTTTCTCTCATCTAGAGCTGGGTAGTTCAAGGCATGATATCAGAAATTGGATCTTTACGCAAGGCAGAGTAGAAATCTGGTCTCTCGTCCAAAAACCTGTTAAGGTTCAGGTCAATTGACAACTTCAAAACAGAGATTTCAAGAATTTTGTTGAGAACTACATTTGGATTTGAGAAACCAATGTGACCAGATGGAGTCAAGATATAGATCAGGCAAGGTCTAATGGAATAACAGACCAAGATCAAGGACTGAATGGCCTCCTTCTGTTGCTAACAGAAAGACAGAGAGACAATGTTGTGGCTTAAACTTGAAACTTGACATGAAGAATCATGGGTGAAATTTCTGACAGCAGATAGTAGGCAAAACTTGGTTCTTCAAGTAAGCAAACTGAGATTGGTTTCACAGAAATGGGTTAGAGATTATGTAGATCAGAGTTGGTTACAATGTAAGTTGCAGGATGATAGAAGCCCAGCACAGTTACAAAGTAAAATGATCTAACTGAAACTGCACTCTTCACAAAATCACTGGTAGAAGGCTCAGGTCTAAAGCAATTTGCTATATAAATAATTAAACGGCATCCACCGAGGAATGACAACACTATATCCTATTCCCAGTTCCGAAACATAATTTCAGGCAATTGCAGTGAATTTGTGGCTTTTCACCTGAAGGGTCTTAAAGGACAAATGTTGACAATGAGTTTCTCTTGATCCTTACAGAAATATAGATTTCAGAGAAATTACTTACACTGTTTGGCTATAAACCAGGGTAAACCAGATCTCTGGTTCGGGAATACTAGCTAAAGTCTCATAGCACCAGAATTTGAGGTGGGAAAATAATTAGACCAAAGAACATGAACATGATACGACATCCATTCTATACTAGGATCTTTAACCCTTACTTTTAATATTTCGGTTATAAATTCCTACATCCAGTTATAATGGAAATTGTCTATATAAACTTGTCATGTATATAAACTGTAATGAGACTCCAGCACTCATGGTAACACTGCAGTGCCTCCACTGGCAGAAGGATGTGATTAGAGTGAACCTGATTATTTATCATGAGAACAGTGATAGGAGCCCATGTAGCCATGGTATTAATAAAGGAACTGTTACTTGTTAATAGATTCGGCTCATGTTCTGTTCTTCATATAACTTCTTCAGATGAAAGTACTCCCCATACACACAGAGGATACTCAGATATACCCCAAAAAGATGCAACATTTGTCCTACATGACAATTAGGAAGTGAAACCTGACCGGTAAAGGGACATCAATCAGAAGTCAACTTGGTGACTCAATGCCCCAAGGTACCTGTAAATCTTCAATGTTACTGTTCCATAGATGATGGCAAATCCCAGTGTTCGCACCCATCGCAGGAGAACACATCGGAAAACACTGGGTTGAAAGTATAGGATAAACACCTGTTGGATGAACACAAACAGAGGCAGACTTTAACAATTGGGTACATGCCCAGGCTTGTGGTGAGTCACTCACCTCTCAACTCCCTAAAGTCTGTCACTGGGTCAAGTTCCTGCAAGTCCCTTCCTAACTGCACTGCAGGTTTACCGACCCTGCCTCCTCTCCCACTAGACAGCAGCAGTTTACCACCACCTTCTCAAAGGCAATTAGTTGGACAATCAATGCTGATCCAGCCAATGATGCCATATCTGCGAATGAATTTAAAAAAAGTTAAGGAATTTCTGCTGAAGTGTTCATTAAATGCTAAAATCCTGTTCACTGCCTTTGGCTTAAGAGGAAAATATACACTGACATTGTGATGAAGATTTGCTTGCCTTCCAATCTACTTCTGTGCATTTTGTAGCACCTCTTTTGCTGTATTTTATTGAGAGCAAAAACCACAATGCGACATTAACAGTGCTATACTAGCTAAGGAGCAGTCAATTCAATTCAATCCCAGGGAATGTCCCTTCTTCCTATGTGGGTTCAATTGTTAGATGTACAAGCGAAGGGGCTGCGCAGACATAAGGTTTTGTGGCTCTGTGTTGAGTCAGCAACTTATAGATGAGGATCATGACCATATCTTCTTGGGAATTATTACTGCTCGATGGAGGAGTCTTCATGTTAGTGAGGAGAGAACTGCACTTGCCTGTGATCCTTCTTATCCTTGTTTGACTTACTTCATTTTTCACATGTTGATGCTTTCAGTCACTGGTGGTTTGTGTTTGGGTCAGAGTGTTTCCAAAATTCTCCTTTCTATTCTTGTTAATGAAATAGTCAACCAAATTAAACCAAATTAGAATTGACTAAAGAGCATTGTATCAAAAATGAAATCATAAGTGAAACTTATCAAATGTAATTACAATATCATGCTTTTTGTGGCAGGGTTGGAGCAGGGGGGATGTTGAAACATCCCTAGCCCCTGTGGTGCCCACTGGTCATGGAAGGCCTGACCTGAAGTGTATTAATGGACAACACATGCATCCTTGCTTAGTGCAGGAGCAACCATGGAAGAGAGGCAAGCAGCTGGCTGCAACACCCCTCTCCACTGCCCACTGCCTGGCTCTGTTAGTGACCACTCTGGCCCAGCCCAGGATCTTTCTGCCCCTCTCCACATTGTGTCCATAAACATCAGAAACACAGAATCCTTTGTACAGATATTTCTTATCAACCTGTCCAGGATTTTATTACATACCTCTGGAGCAGGTGGGACTTGAACCCAGGTCTCCTGGCTCAGAGGTAGGAACTCTATCACTGTGCCACAAGAGCCCATCCTTCATATTATGCTGGATCAAAGGAACTGTCTAATCAGCATTGGTAGAGAGGATTCAGCCTTAACAAGGAGAGGCACTTGTCATACACAAGATATAGTTTATTGCACAATAGCAAAAAGTAAAAGTTAAATTGATTAATTAGGCAGAATTATAAAGACTATCAGGAGCCAAAGTTGACAGGACTGTTTCCATTGGGACCTTGTGACAGGCTCCTCCTGCACCAAAAGAATGTGACATTATTCGATTGAAGTGTCACCAGATCCACCCAACGTTAACTTTTTCAGAATCATTGCTTTATACAACACCATGACCACTTTAGGTTGGTCACTTGGATGGCTAGAAGTGTACCCTTTAAAAGTCAGCACCTTCCCGACTGGAGGCAGGCAATCAAGGTGCTCCTGGTGCTATTTGAGCAGGACATACCAGGAAGCAGTGGCACAACAACAGCATGCATTTCCGAACAAAATTGGATCAAAAAGGTCACTTTTAATTATCCAAAAAACAGTAGAAATGTTTTCACTTTTGATTCATTTTAAATTCCTTCTGTTTCCTTTGTTTAAATTTCACATTGGAAGTGGCTTCTGAATTTGTGCTGTATTGAGGAGGTGTTCCTGATTGAAATTGTAAATTGTGACGGGGTGATACAGGGAGTGAACATTGCAGTAGCACTTTCATTTCATAGCTCAGGAAGTTCCTGAGTTCAGCCCTACAACTCAGGCTTACGAACGGATCTGAGCTGATGCACCCAGTTCAATACGGTGGGAGTGCCACACAGTCACACAGGAAACTGAACATTAAACTGAGACTCTATCTGTCCTCACAGGTGGATGTACAAGTCCCATGGTACTATTGTGAAGAACAGATGAGTTTTTGCTTTCCTTGGTCAACATTCATCCCTAACTAATATCAATAAAAACAAATTCTGATTGCAATTGTGTTGTTGTCTCTTGGACCTTGCTGCATGCAAATTGGCTGCTGTGTTTCTTACATTGTAACTGTGAAAGTATTTCATTGGGCTATAAAGCTGCTTTCGGATATCCTGAGATTGCAGAAGGTGTTTAATGCATTTTTTTCTTCTTTTTTGGGATCAAAATTCCAGTGTGGCAGGTTAAACCCTCCTTTCCACTATTGGACTTTCACAAAATTATAATTAGGGCAGCACAGTGGCTCGGTGGTTAGCACTGCTACCTCACAGCACCATGGACCCGGGTTCATTCCAGACTTGGGATACTGTCTGTGTGGAGTTTGTAAGTTCTCCCTGTGTCTGCATGGGTTTCTGCCAGGTTAGATGGATGAGCCATGGAAAATGCAGGGTTACAGGGGTAGAGTTGGGGCCAGAGTCTGGATGGGGAGCTCTTTGGATGGTCAGTGCATACTTGATGGGCTGAATGGCTTCTTTCTGCACTGTAGGGATTCTATATAATATTCTTGGTCTTGCTTTGTTGCTAATGGAATAGTTACAAAGTCTGCTGAGGTAAGGAAATATGAAGTCTCTTGAAGACATATCTTAACCTGGCTTCATCTTGCTATGAGGCTGCAATGGAGAGCAGGTTCATGTGATGTCACACCACTTCCTGTGATGATTGTTACACTGTGTCTCATTAACATAGAACACAGTCAGGCTTAAATTCTTGTGCCACATCTCCCCAGATCTCTGACAATAAATTTCTTCTACAGGGCAAACTCCTGTGGCGGATTCATTAATCCACTCAAAATGTACTCTTCATTTCTTTTGAGGAGATTGGGCATTTGCATCCTCCATGTGGTATCATGGTTTCTAATGGGTACAGTAATTGGAAGAAGACTTGAGTTCACTAATCAGGCCATCATTAAGATTTCTCAATGAACTCAGCATCTCCTTTCTGTTTGACTGTGTTGATGACTCCTTTGACTGTGTAAAAAGTTGTTTTGTTTGGAAGTTAGTGCACATCTGTTCTATTGTGGTACCAATTTTGATTTGAATGAGGCAGACCTGTGGAAATGGTTTGTGTTCAACCACTTAGAAACATGAAAGATCACGGTGAAGAAGTGAGAGACTGAATGAATTATTTCAAGGTAAAATGAGATATATTATCTATTATTGTTAAATTTACTAAGAGATGCAAGTTTACAATAAAAACCCTTGCTTAGCATTTGCTTAAATTTGCTTAATGCAAAACATTATTGGGATAATATTGAGGGTGGTTTACTTTCCATTGAGACTATGCTATGCGTGTCATGATAAAACTACATAATGGCATATCCCAGTCATAACTTGAAGATCAAAATATTGTGTCCAGAAAAAGAGTATGAATGAATTGGAAGAAAGGGAACGAGATACTATAACCATTCAGCCCAACTTCCCAGTATTTCAACATGAGGCAAATTCAATGTGAACTTTTGGAATTACAGCTTTAATAGTTAAAAATAAAAATGACTAATCCTCGATCAGGAACAAGATGACAAAAGTGAGCAATTATCATTAGATGCGTCAAACATGTAAATTCACTTTCCAAATTTAGAATGAACCATCTGTCATCCATCTACAAAGAAAAGCTCTCACAGAGACACTGATTCACCAGCAGGATAATTGCTGGCTTCAATATTACACTGTCAATGCACTTCGATGAGATCTGCCTGTTTTTCAGGATCAAAAAGTGGTCAATAACAGATTGGACCAGGGTCACTCAGAGTTCCTGCTGAAGAGACAGTTAGCTGGAGGTGAGAAAAGAGGGCAGCCAGTTTGAATTAAAGGGCCCAACTTCCTGCCTGTTTGCATTTTTGGTTAGAGTGTGTGAAGATTATGGGAATCAGATACATACTTGAACATTTGGAGAGCTACAGAGAAACTGTGGAGAGTGGCATTAACTGGATGGTTCTTACAAAGTGCTTGCATAGGTATGATGGGTTAAATGATCCCTTTAGCAATATGATTCTATGATTAAAACTAGTCTTCCTGACCCACGCAGAGTGCAGTAGAACACAAACATAGATATGTGGAATTTTCCCAGAGTTTTAAGGTTGTGGGCAAAGGCAAGAGTAGAATTTGGGATAGGTGTTGGCCAGTAGTTGGGGTTTTGAGACAATTGTTTATTATTTGGGTATCTGAGACAGTTATTGTTAGTTCTCTGGTATATAAGACAGGTATTGCCCAGCAGTGAGGGGTATATGGAATGGTTGTTACCTAACAACTGGGGTATCTGGGAGGAGTGTTGTGTATTTGGGACAGGTATTACCCAGTGGTTGGCTAACTGGGACAGGTGCTGCTCAGTGCGGTGTACCTCAGACAGGAGCTGCTCAGTGCGGTGTACCTCAGACAGG